TGAAATTCTTGATTCTTGAATACTACCAGTTGAGAAGAGCTCTGTTTTGAAATCGCTCTGAAAATTTTCTATTTTTCCCCTTACGAAGATTGGGAGGAAATAATCAAGCCAAACAGGACTACAGGATTTATATTAGTTTTTAGGCGTTTTAGGCAGCGATCAGCAATTGTTGGACATACAGCAACTCGTCCCTCTTGAATTCACTTGGACTAGCTTCTTATTAGAATGCATGCGTCCACCAGTTATCACTGGACCAGGTCTCTCGACAAAATAATAATGCGGAAAACAAATAACTTAAATAAACCAAGCATAATGATTTTACGTGGAACCTCCTCGCTCAAGGGAGATGAAAACCACGACCTGTAATCACAAGATTTCAACTCAAACTCCATTTCACTCAAAACGGAGCAAATCTTCAGATTACAAACTCTTGTAACTTAGGAATTAAAACTCTTTAATCCCTTCCCCCTTACTATAGCAACTCTACTAAAAGCAAAATAACTAAACCAACTACCTTTAGTCGATCTAGACTTCAAGAACCCAACAAGGCTAACTCTAGCCACCAACTCAGATCTCGAAGATAAGAACATAAACAAGCAGCAATTTTGCTGCACTCACACATCAACTAACTCTAGTTGACACTCCTAGGCAACTCTACCCAAGAGAACATCAAAACAATTATGTAAAAAGGCTGGACTAAAACATAGATCATTCGACTAACTAACTCCAGTTAATCCGACTCAACCTAAAGACTTAGACAAGCAACCAATCTACTATTTCCTCCGTTTAAAAAAAATGGCCTAATTTCCTTTTTAGTCTTTAAAAAAGAATGATCCCTTTCTTTTTTTGGCAACACTTTAACTTCAAATTTTCACGTGGCATGTTTAAGGCCACAAGATTTAAGGACATTTTGGTACATTTGACAAAACTTTAATTTAGAACCACAAGATTAAAAAATCTTCTTTCTTTTCTTAAACTCCGTTACAAGTCAAAATAGGTTTTTTTTTTAAATGGAGGGAATATCTCTTATAACTTAGAAGTAGTTTACAAAATAAGAACACAAGACACAAAGCTCAAAATACAACAAAGGCGCTTTAGCACTCCATCGGGTTCCTTGTTGAGTATGAGCAGTGTTCTTACTTAAAGATGATTTTTTCTTTGTAAGCTTATGAATTTTCAGAATTCAAAACTTTGTTTGCCAAAACTTGGAATTGTCTTTGGAGAAGATAATATTATCAATTGGACACAAACCCTTAGGACCAAGCCATTGCCTGAGCCTACTGCTATGAAAAGACATGACCAGTCACAATAGAGTTGGCAGTTGTGGCAGCTTTTAGACAGGGTTTTTTTTTTGTCTTTTTCACGTAAGCAGTCTTTCCTTGACCAGGTCTCTTGTTAGATCCGGAAGTTTGTCAGATCATCAAAACTTCAAATCAGCTTAAAATAACACTTTTCCATTTCCACAGTTTGAAACATGTCTGTTATAAGCGTCTTCAGTTGGACAAGTAATCAAGGTGTAGTTGGTTATCACGTCAGTCTAAAACATAGAGTAGTTAAAGTTTGAGGATCATTTCTTAGCCAAACAAGCCAAGGCTGAATCCTCAAATGTGATTGCTTCGTCCACTATATATAAGAACAACGATTGTGCACTGGCACTTTAGTTAGATATACTAGTAGCATTTACTATTAAACAAAATCTAAGGAAATAAGTAATCCATTATAAACCTTTAACCAATCGATTATACTCAAATGCTTGTATCAAGAAATTAAAAACTGAGCAGCATATAGAGAACGGTAGTACCTGAGCTCAAACATGTAAAAAGTTCAGTGTCAATTGGGTTATTCCAACCTGAAGTAATAATATATAGTGCAATCTCAAAACAGAAACGGAAAACAGAATATTACACAATTATGAATTATAGCATTTTGTATAAGCAGAATATCAGAATGAGTAGGCTATCAATGTCTGCATTTTCTTCAATATTATCTATATTCCATCAGCCACTTGATCTATTTCTTCCTTCTTTTCATTGGGGGGCCTCCATCTTGATCATGATTCTGTTCATTAGCGCCTCCCTCTTGATCAACATTTTGCTCATTAGCACCTCCATCTTGATCAACATTTTGCTCATTAGCGCCTCCATCTTGATCAACATTTTGCCCATTAGCACCTCCATCTTGTTCAACATTTTGCTCATTAGCGCCTCCATCTTGATCAAGCAACGTTACATCATTCCAGAAACTTCTCATTAGCGCCTCCATCTTGATCATGATTCTGTTCTTCATCTGTATCTCCATCTTGATCAGTATTTTGTTCTTCATCTGTACCTCCATCTTGATCAGTATTTTGTTCTTCATCTGTGCCTCCATCTTGCTCAGTATTCTGTTCTTCATCTGTACCTCCATCTTGATCAGTATTTTGTTCTTCATCTGTACCTCCATCTTGATCAGTATTTTGTTCTTCATCTGTACCTCCATCTTGATCAGTATTTTGTTCTTCATCTGTACCTCCATCTTGATCAGTATTTTGTTCTTCATCTGTACCTCCATCTTGATCAGTATTTTGTTCTTCATCTGTACCTCCATCTTGATCAGTATTCTGTTCTTCATCTGTACCTCCATCTTGATCATTAGGAACCTGTTCATTATCGCCTCCAAAGGGAAAATTAGGTAACGTTTCATCGTTCCAGAAACTAAGCTCCTTCCTGCCACAAAATACGCATTTGAATGAACACCTTACAAGTCAAACCACATCTATATACATGTACAGACGTCTCAATCTGAAAATTCGTAATTAGAAACTTACAATATCATATAGAATCCTCCTACTCTATGACTCCTAGACGGTTGGGAGGCTGCAATCTGGAGAAATCATAAATTCTGTAATTTAAGAGGGGAAAAAAGCAACAAAATCGTCTTGTTATCATGAAACTCAAATGATCTTTAATATTACTAGTATCTTACAAGTTTCCACCCGAGCAGGGTTTTACATTGAACACAGTAAGTCTCGGCTAGGTTCATGCCATCTGTTACTGGATGATATCGCTCATCCTCTGTTACTTCAACATTAAGCCTGCATATATGGCTCATTAGGCAATAAATAAAATCTTAAGATGTTGAAATTGCACGAGACTTACACTTCAGTAAAGAACTTTGCATTCACTAAGTCGTCTACCTGCAATGTTTACAACACAAGAAATAAATTGATTCTGAGCTTAGTCAAGAAATATAACAGAGTAGTGCTGAATTCATGATACAAATATAGCAGGGATCGAATGATACATATTGTCATCAAAAGATACCACATACTGATTGAATAGAACAATAAGTCGGTTCTATTTGTGTTTTTTTTTCTAAACGTATAGAACAATTCAGAAGAAATTAATTGAAAATTTGGACTATTAAAGAACCACAAATCAATAGCAAGAAATCATACAGAGAGAGAAATCCTTACAGAGTGATTGTAATCCTGAACGAGTGCAACTTGAGTTCCGCAGGTACGACAGTGGAAGTATTCAGGCATGTTTCACCTATTACAGAATAAAGAACAAAATGTAAGAGAAATAGAAAAGCTGGAAAAATCAATGGAAAGAAGAGACTAACTTATCACCAGGGAGAAAAGAGTTGGTTGATCAATGAGAATCCAAGAAAACAAATAATGGGTGGGAATTATAACAGAAAATCAGTTCTTGATTCTTGAATACTACTAATTGAGAAGAGCTCTGTTTTGAAATGGCTTCACCAGCTCTGAAAATTTTTAAACCTTTTACTAGGGATAAACTGAAGATTTTACAGTTTATCCTTTCTTTTTTTTTCTACCTCCAAAAGTATTTTCTTGTGTGAATTTCAATGGTAAAAACTTATCAGAGTAAATATACTGGTGCTGCAACTTACTTAAGAAGTCAGGATCCTCTTGTTGAGACTTGAGAGGCTGACATCTTCAGAAATAGACTTGCAGTGGTAAAATTCACGCAAACAGGATTTGTATAAGCTTTTAGGTAGCGATAAGGCAACAACAAACGAATGGTCATCCCTCTTTAATTCATTTGGACAAGATTCTCCATTCCGCAGTTTGAAACATGTCTGTATTTACAACCTAATTTTTATTTCTATTTTTCCTAATAGACATTTCACACCTATTACAGAATTAAAAAATCTGCTTAGAAAATTTTCTAACCCTTTACAAGGGATAAAAAAAATCTATTATTATTTTTCCCCTTACGAAGATTGAGAGGAAACAATCCACAAACCCGGTTAGGGATTAAATTCCTTAAGTGAGTTTTCCTTTATGTGCCAAACTGTACTTGTGCTGCAGGATCCTTTTGTTGAGACTTGCTGTGGTGAAGGAAAACTCTACTACAAATTCATGCTTTTCAAACCTACAGTATTTGTATTAGTTTTTAGGCAGCGATAAACTTCATGCTGTCAATCAGCAATTGTTGAACATACAGCAACTCATCCCTCTTGAGTTCATTTTGACTAACTTCTCCATTTCCACAGTTTGAAACATATCTGTTATTAGCTCCTTCAGTTGGACAAGAAATCAAGGTGTAGTTAAAGTTTGAGGATCATTTCTTAGCCAAAGCTGAATCCTCAAATGTGATTGCTTCGTCCACTATATATAAGAACAACAATTGTGCACTGGCACTTTAGTTAGATATACTAGTAGCATTTACTATTAAGCAAAATCTAAGGAAATAAGTAATCCATTAGTAACTTTTAACCAGTCGATTATACTCAAATGCTTGACAGATGACTTGTATCAAGAAATTAAAAACTAAGCAGCATAAAGAGAACGGTAGAACCTGAGCTCAAACATGTAAAAAGTTCAGTGTCAATTGGTTTATTCCAACCTGAAGTAATAATATGTAGTGCAATCTCAAAACAGAATATCACACAATTATGAATTATAGCATTTTGTATAAGCAGAATATCAGAATGAGTAGGCTATCAATAGTCTGCATTTTCATCAATATTATCTATTCCATCAGCCAGTTGATTTATATCTTCGGTCGTTTCATTGGCCGGCCTCCATCTTGATCATGATTCTGTCCATTAGCGCCTCCATGTTGATCAACATTTTGCTCATTAGCGCCTCCATCTTGATCAACATTTTGCTCATTAGCGCCTCCATCTTGATCAACATTTTGCTCATTAGCGCCTCCATCTTGATCAACATTTTGCTCATTAGCGCCTCCATCTTGATCAACATTTTGCTCATTAGCGCCTCCATCTTGATCAACATTTTGCTCATTAGCGCCTCCATCTTGATCAACATTTTGCTCATTAGCGCCTCCATCTTGATCAACATTTTGCTCATTAGCACCTCCATCTTGATCAACATTTTGCTCATTAGCACCTCCATCTTGATCAACATTTTGCTCATTAGCGCCTCCATCTTGATCAGCATTTTGCTCATTAGCGCCTCCATCTTGATCAGCATTTTGCTCATTAGCGCCTCCATCTTGATCAGCATTTTGCTCATTAGCGCCTCCATCTTGATCAGCATTTTGCTCATTAGCGCCTCCATCTTGATCAGCATTTTGCTCATTAGCGCCTCCATCTTGATCAGCATTTTGCTCATTAGCGCCTCCATCTTGATCAACATTTTGCTCATTAGCGCCTCCATCTTGATCAGCATTTTGCTCATTAGCGCCTCCATCTTGATCAACATTTTGCTCATTAGCACCTCCACCTTGATCAACATTTTGCTCATTAGCGCCTCCACCTTGATCAACATTTTGCGCATTAGCGCCTCCACCTTGATCAACATTTTGCTCATTAGCGCCTCCATTTTGATCATGCAACGTTACATCATTCCAGAAACTAACTGCCTTCCTGCCACAAAATACTCATTTGAATTAACACCTTACAAGTCATACCACATATAATCCTGTGCAGACGGTCTCAATCTGCAAATTCGTGATTAGAAACTTACAATCTCATATAGAATCCTCCTGCTCTATGACTCCTAGACGGTTGGGAGGCTGCAATCTGGAGAAATCATAAATTCTGTAATTCAAGAGGGAAAAAAAAAGAACAACAAAATCTTCTTGTTATCATGAAACTCAATGATCTTTAATATTACTAGTATCTTACAAGTTTCCATCCGAGTGGGATGCTACACTTGACACAGTAAGTCTTGGCTAGGGTCATGCCATCTACTAGAATATATTGCTCGTTCTGTGCTTCTTCAACATTAAACCTGCATATATGGCTCATTAGGCAATAAATAAAATCTCGAGATGTTGAAATTGCACGAGACTTACACTTCAGTAAAGAACCCTGCATTCACTAAGTCATCTACCTGCAATATTTATAACACAAAAAAATAAGTTGATTCTGAGCTTAGTCAAGAAATATAACAAGTGGTACTGAATTCATGATACAACTAGCTGTAGAAATTAAGGGATTGAATCATACAGATTGTCATCAAAAGATACCATATACTGATCGAATATAACAATAAGTTGGTTATATTTGTTTTTTCTTTATAAGCGAATAGAACAATTCAGAAGAAATTAATCGAAAATTTGGAGTATCAAAGAACCACAAATCGATAGCAAGAAATCATACAGAGTAGAAATCCTTACAGTGTGATCGTAATCCATAACGAGTGCAACTCGAGTTCCGCAGCTACGACAGTGGAAGTAATCAGAAGACATGTTTCACCTAATACAGAAAAAAGAACAAAATGTAAGAGAAATATAAAAGCTGGAAAAATCAGTGGAAAGAAGAGACTAACTTCTCACCAGGGAGAAAAGAGTTGGTAGATCAATGAGAATCCAATAAAACAAAAAATGGGTGAAAATTATAACAGAAAAATCAGTTCTTGATTCTTGAATACTACTAATTGAGAAGAGCTCTGTTTTGAAATGGCTTCACCAGCTCTGTTTTATAATCGCTCTGAAAAGAGTTGATTGATCAATGAGAATCTACTAATTGAGAAGAGCTCTGTTTTGAAATGGCTTCACCAGCTCTGTTTTATAATCGCTCTGAAAAGAGTTGATTGATCAATGAGAATCTACTAATTGAGAAGAGCTCTGTATACAACTAATTGAGAAGAGTTCTGTTTTGAAATGGCCTCACCAGCTCTGTTTTATAATCGCTCTGAAAATTTTCTAACCTTTTACTAGGGATAAAAAAAATTATTTATTATTTTTCCCCTTATGAAGATTTTACAGTTTATCCTTTCTTTTTCTTTTTTTTTTTAGACTATTTTCTTGTGTGAATTTCAATGGTAAAAACTTATCAGAGTAGTTACGCAGAATGATAGATGCCTGACATATTATTTAATTATGATTTCTTGTGTGAATTTCAATGGTAAAAACTTATCAGAGTATATATACTGGTGCTGCAACTTAATTAAGAAGTCAGGATCTCTTGTTGAAACTTGAGAGGCTGACATCTTCAGAAATAGACTTGCTGTGGTGAAGGATAACTCTATACAAATTCACGCAAAGAGGATTTGTTGTGAACAAGAGGAGTCAAGTTGCAGACCTGGATGACATGGGGGGTGCCACGGAGAATAATCACATGGATATGCCACATAAGAGCTCTAGAAGAGTAATTCCTCCTAAAAGACTTGGCGATTACGTTTGGAAGAGTGGGAGGTCACGTGACAAAGGACAGAGTTTGCTGCAACAAAATGTATAAACAGAACAAGTACTGGGCATAATGGGGCAAGCAAAATCATGATGGATCTTTCTGTTATCTCATCTCCTTCTTCACTCTATCTTCTCATCCCATTTCTTTTATTTATCTATCTATCACTAGTTATTTCTTCTTGTATTTCAAATTGCCTTAAATATAGTTTATCAAGTATTGTTGTTGTTTACAGAAGTTGTAGTTGGTTCAGTTTATCAATACAAAGGTGTCTTTGAGAACTATTGTTAGTGTTCATTAGTAATCTCTTTGTTACAGGATTTGTATAAGATTTTAGGCAGTTTAGGCAGCAGTAAGGCAACAACAAACGAATAGTCATCCCTCTTGAATTCATTTGGACTAGATTCTCCATTCCGCAGTTTGAAACATATCTGTATTTACAACCTATATGGACTGATTAGTTGGTTATCACGTCAGTCTAACGCACTGAGTTGTTAAATTTTGAGGATCATTTCTTAGCCAAACAAGACAGAATCCTCAAATATGACTGTTTGGGTCAGTATAATATACAAGAACAATAATTGTGCATATCTACATTGCAATAGCCTCCTGACAAAAGGAATTGTACAAATTTCAGAAGGTTACATATTTGCAATATTTTAGACAGCAGACTACAGAAACCTGTAGTATAATGTGAGCACTGGCACTTTATTTAAATATTCTAGTACCATTTACTATAAAAAAAAATTCTAAGGAAGTAAGTAATCCAGTATTAATTTTTAACCGGTCGGTTATACTCAAATGCTTGACAGATGACTTGTATCAAGAAATTAAAAACTAAGCAGCATATAGAGCACGGTATAGTACCCGAGCTCAAACATGTAAACAGTTCAGTGTCAATTGGTTTATTCCAACTTGAAGTAATAATAGGTACTGCAATCTCAAAACAAAAATGGAAAACAGAATATTACACAACTATGGATTATAGCACTTTGTATAAGCAGAATATCAGCATGAGTAGGCTATCAATGTCTGCACGTTCATCATTAGTTGATCCTGATCCAGTTGGTCTACATCTTCATTCAATCATTGGAGCGCCTCCATCATGATCGTGATTCTGTTCATTACGCCTCCATCTTGATAAGCAATTTTGAAAGATTTGTATCAAGACATTTAAAACACTGTGCTGATTAGCGCCCACATCTTGTCATTTGCCTTTCCAGCTAGATCAACATTTTGCCCATTAGCTCCCAAATCTTGATCACCATTTTGCTCATTTGGGCCTGCGTTCCATAAACTAAGCGTATCCCTGCCACAGAGTACTCATTTGTGTTAACCCTTACAAGTCATACTGACTACGTGTACAGACAGTCTCAATTTGCAAATTTGTAATTAGCAACTTACAATATCATACAGAATCTTCCTTCTCTAATAAACCTGTCCGGTTGGGGGACTGTAATCTGGAGAACTTGTTGACACCCAATACAAACTAATCATTGAGCTTCTTGAAATAATTAGTTATTGTAAAGTTCAAGATATTTTCTAAGTATTTGAAGTAATTTTGGTCGCTTTTACAATTTTTGATAATAAATATGCTTTTTTTTTAATTTTTATTTTATAAATATTCAAAAATGGTCTCAAAAAGATTTTAGTTTTACGTAAAAATACTTTATCAAATTAATTTTGTCTAAATTAGTAGTTTATATTTTGAGTCATTAGTTCATTAGGCTAATTATTTTATTTCGTTAAAAATTAAGAAGCTCGTTAATTAGTTATATTTATTCATTTTCATTTAAGCTCTAGCCGAATTAATTGATTACCTCAATTTGGGTTGAGTTGTATAACTTAATGGGCTAGATTCCAGTGGCCATTTTTGCAAGACCCATTTTTTGGGCCTTTTTCTTTTCTTCCAGCCCACTTCTTTTCTTTTTTCTCAAATAAAATCCCAACAGCCCACCAACCAAAACTCAGAACCATTTCTAAATTCCTAAAACTACATCAGCAGCCCACTTTCATTCTAATACAATACCCATTCCCAGCAACATATGTACAACGTACAGCAATACCCAATACTCATCTTCTTCCTCGATTGCGACCGAAACCAGTGCGAAAAACCCTTAAGCGAAGCAAATCGTGAAGCCCGGAATCGAAACCAAACACAGTCCGGTTGTGAACCGCGTCCAGCAGCCCAGAAAATCAACCCGAAGCAGCGCAGTCCAGTAGCGACTCAGCCCAAAATCGTAAGGCCCAATCACTGTGTCGTCTTCCTCCCGTCCCTTTCCAATTTGTACCAGCATCAGGCACGCTCTCCGTCCCCCTTTCCCCTTTCGGAATGAGTCAAAACCCCAAGGAAAAGGTGTTTGTCCGACTTGGTGAAGGAATTCAAATTTTTGAATTTAGAATTGGCCCCAAATTTCTACCCGATTCCCCCCGAAATCTACCCTAATTTCCCTTATATAATCACCTCTTATATTTATTTGTAAAGGGGGATTTTTTTTTGAACAAAAATACAAGGTAAGTTTTCTTGGCAGAAATACAGAGAACAACCTTTAGGAACAAGTAGCAATACACTCGAAATACGCTCTTGAATCGAGAATTGCTAGGACTTCTGCCCAGTTCCTCGACTATCATTCGTGTTCAAGTTTCTCGTGGTGGAAAAACCATCGTCCTCTACTCATTGTCCTAGTTCGCTGCCCCACAAACGGTAATCTTGGTACCTTTTCCTTGTTATATCTTACCCTTTTGTTCAGTATGTTTGTATTAGTTTAGGAATCCATGTTAGATTTTCTGTTATTTTGCATAAAAATGACAATTATATATAGTTCAAAGCTTGTGGTTTTTGCTCTATGTTTATATGTACATGAATCACTTTCTAGTATCTAAACATTGCTCCAACAACTCTATTTCTTTGTTTTCCTTTACTCGCTATTAAACATGGCCATAGTTAGAGTCAAGAATTATATTTCTATACATATCATATCTAACTTGAGATTATGTTTGGAAAGTTTATATTGAGAATAACTATCTCATTTGAATATATGTACTTGTTTCTGAATGCTCGAATTAGTATAAACTCAATGACTACTAATGTAACACTAATGAAAAAGAAATGTTTGTTTGATGTGAATTTACAAGTCTGTGAACTTCATAATTTATTTATTATCTAGCTCACATGTTTGATCGAGAGTATACTATTTTCTAATCATTTTTATCTCGTTTATCTATTTTGCATGAACACCGGAGCCGAAGAGTTTCACTTGAGACTCGATAAGGCCACTGATGTACAGATTCCATTTATTATCACCCTCGTTCATCTCTATTTCGTTAAGACAGCCAACTTACAGAAGGAAAAATCTTTTATGGAGCTTACATGGATCTCGATTATTTTATATTACTTGCACATCCTTACTTTTTCCTGCTTCATATTGGTTCATACATCGACCAACGGAGGAGATAATCTTTTCCTCTGTTAGAGCCAAGCATGACCTTTAATTACTTCAGCTT